AATACGTAGAATAGTACATATCTCTAAGATTTTAAAACTCTATTGGCACTAACCGTAACATATAATCAGAGCACCTATTCTCTTTTATTATATTTTATACCTAATAAATATAAAATGCAGATAGATTAAATACAAGCATAAGGATAGTTAATATACCCGAAAATCATCACCATCGTGATACGACAAATATACCATGTGCTAAATAATGAATAATGTTTCCACAATGTAATGTAGATTTTCCATTTTGATTGTTGGTCAATTTCAGCAAAACAATTTTATAATTACAATTTCATAATAACTTTTGCATGACTTTTTTTTCAATGTGCTCATATACATATAATAATAGCTAACAATGTAGTGCTAAATAATAATCTGATCATCTGCAGAATTATTGGAAATCATTACATTTGTCATAAACGATAGAAAAAAAAAATTATTAATAATCCAAAAACCATCAAGCTTGTATAAGAATGCAGTTCGGAAAAAATATACGTTTGTCTGTGTGTTCGTGTATGTGAACAGATTTTTTGCCGTGAATCGACGTTTTCTCAAAAAACGACTGGACCGATTTCATAAATTTAAAAGCCATACGATGTATCTCGATGAGGACATCGTTTATCAGTTTTGTGCGACGATCGGCCAAGTCATTACTTTATAAATAGCAAAAAAGTGAAAAATTTTTCGTCCACGTTTTAGCCCGCAATTCTAAATCGATTTTGAAAATTCAAAAACCGTTCGAAAGGTATTGTTTGGGAATCGTGCTGATTAGTTTTCGGTAGAGATCGGCCGGGCCGTTTTCTTGTAATAAAGTGTTAAAAAAATTTTTCGACGATTATTATTATTATTTATTTGATGGTAGATACCATAGTCTTATAGATCCTACTAAAATATTACGGCCCTACGACAACTCGTTTAACTTTAAAAATTCGTCAAGTTTGCAAAAATTGGTATCGTTTTTTTGGCATTTGTTAAAATTAGACCTTTCAACGGCGCTTGCTCCAAAACGCCTGAACCGATTTCAGAAATTTAAAAGCCATTTGATATATCTCGATGAGGACTATCGTTTGTCGGTTTTGTGCGAGTCGTTCCTTTATAATTTGAAAAAAAGTTTAAAACATTTCGTCCACATTTAAGCTCATACTACCGAATCGATTTTAAAGAATCAAAAACTGTTCAAAAGATATTAGTTGGGAATGATACTGATTAGTTTTAGGTCAAAATCTACCGAGCCGTTTTCTTGTAATTAACTGTTGAAAACAAAATTTAAGCCGATTTTTATGGAACTTTTTTTGGTAATATATATCAAGGTCTTATAGAACTCGAAATATTACGGCCTTACGACAAGTAGTTTAATTTTGAAAATTCATCAAAGTTTGAGAAAATGAGTAGTTTTTTTGACGTCTGTTAAAATTAGAATTAGACGATTTACTTGATATGACGATAGAGTACTTGGTCTTAACGAACATACTAAACCATTGAAGTCCTACGGAAACTGGTTCAATTATAAAAATGGTTGATTTTTGAAAATTTACTTTTAGAAAATACTCCAACTTAACGTATTTGTTCGTTTTCAATTATGTGTAATAAAATCACTCAGAATACTTTTAATCACTCATAAATTAACTTATTTTTTATTGATTAAGTTAATTATTTACACATATCGGGAAGTTCATGTAACTTGCCTCAAGACAAAATATCAATACAAACTACTTTTTAATATTGAACGCCATTAGACCACCAACCATAGTCGCATTTCTAAATGAGTTATTGCAGCAATGTCCCCATGAGCTATTTTCGCTTCGAAACATATGCTATCTATATTTCCAAGTGAAAATCGATGTCACTACTGCTTGACATCAGACTGTCCAAGGTGGATACTGAACAGGTAACTTCTGTTATGGGATTTTACAAAACTCATTAACCACTAATCGACAAAAAAGTCCCAAAATACCAAGAATTATGAATAAAGGTATTGCTTTTCATAATATGGAAATAATATTATTATTCTTTTATATTATTTGATTAGCGATCAGATCTTAACAGATCAGAAGTTAAAAGTCCTATAAGATGTTGTGATAATTTGACTTAACTAACGGTCGGTTTTATAGATGGCAACCTAAAAAGTTATAGTCCATTCATTGGGGTTGTAGTAAGTTCACCTCGGAATTAGAGATTCCAGCTGTAAGTCTGTAAATACTTGTATATTGACACCATAAAAAGTTGTCTCAAAACCTACATATGGTAGGGTGTACGTACTATATGTAGGTTTTTGAGACAACTTTTAAATGTCAATATACAAGTATTTGCAGGCTTACAGCTGGGTATCTCGAATTCCAAGATTCTTATCTAATTTAAGCTTAAATGACTGGACTATTATCATATTTCTATATGACGAATTTCAATTATTACAATTTCTGAAATAGTGAAGCTGTTCGCGGCGGGTATCGAAAAGCTATAACTTCCGATTCAAAGCCATAACTCTAACCACTAATCCCCGGGGGAGCTCAAGCTACTAATAAAGACTTTTTGATACTAATAAGTATCAGCTCTGATAATGAGACTTTGCAGAACAAAATTCTCGAACAAAAACAGGGTAAGTAATATAGTAAGATTTAAAAAAAATATTAAAAAACAACCTATGTACCATAGCATGTCACAAAATGCTCAGGCCCTGTCCCAGCCAGAATGGCAAATTCATAAAATATATTTCAAATGATATATGTTTCAACCTATCATGTTACATATTTGTAAATAATTAAAACAATATGGCACTGGTACCTGGTACCAAACCAATTATATAAGAGTTTCTCACATAATAAGGATCAAATTTCGATAATTCTTACAAAGCACCTTGATACTTGAAGCTCTTGATATTATAACTTGTAAAGGATTTCATTTTGTGAAAGAGTGTTTAGTGGTTAACATCCATTGGTAATTGAAATATAATTTGACAAAAAATATAAATAAATCTAAATTCGACGTTCCTATATTTCTAACAGTTAAATGTTAATTTATATTGAATTCTATTGGACAAGAAGAAAGTTTACAACTTGAAAATTTAAGTAGAAAAAATATACAAACCCAATTTTGCTACAAGTAAATTATGAAATTAAGTCACATTGTAGTTACAGATGACGGAATATATCCAGTTTTTGCTCACCTGGATGAAAGGTAAATAATTCACACATTTTGCTAATATATATAATCATTACCAATCATCCAAGACATAAATGATTCTATGATTATATGTATAAATATATATACACTCATTGTTATATTTTATAACATAATATAATTAATAAAGTAGATATCAAATAATCTGATTAGTTCATACGACACGAAAATATATATTTACAATTATAAATGCACATCGAAAACTTTTATACATAACCTAACAAAGCATACATGTTGAATTGACATCTTACCTTTTTGCTTATTTAACGAATGGACACTATCTTGAGAACTTTTATTAATAAATGCACACAGAATCCGAATAGTATAATATACGTGTTTTTTTTTTGTAAGAATTTATTTAATTTACTCAAATGACAATATGTGATCAAAATCAACCGAAGAGAACCATGGTATAACTAACTTTGACGTTTAATAAAAGAGAAGAACATGAGAGAGCATTGGTCAATTTCAATAGGTGTCGCCATCTAGGATATCTGGGCGTCTACTAATAGTTTCAAACAGATATAAAACATATGTATATATTTATTATATACATATAAAATACATATCACACCTTTTATTTCATTTATTTTAAATACATACTTGAAAATGATTATAATTTAATTATATTTAATTTAATAAATACAGTAAAGTAAAACAAAACGCGAAGTATGAACAATCTGAATAATAGGCGTTTTTCATCACTTTGAATGATTAAATGAGTATTGAAATATAAATTCATTTAATTTCTCAACTATAATATAAACTAGTTGGTATTGGTATTTTTTCTTGAGGCAAGTTACAAGAACTTCCCGATTAGTGTAAAATTAATCAATAAAATATAAATTAATTTATGATCTTCAGTGATTTTTAATCACTCGAGTGATTAAAAGTATTTCGAAAGGATTTATTACACATACTTGAAAACGAACGAGTATTTCTAAAAGTAATTTTCAAAAATCAATAATTTTTATGAATGAACCAGTTTTCGTGGGACTTTAATGATTTAGTATGGTTATTAAGACCAAGTACTTTACCGTTATGCCAAGTAAATCGTCTAATTTTAATTTTAACAAACCTCAATAAAACTACGATACTCATTTTTTCAAACTTTGATGAATTTTTGAAATTAAACTGCTTGTCGTAAGGCCGTAATATTTCAGTAAGCTCTATAAGACCATGATATATATCGCCAAAAAAGTACCATAAAAATAAGCTTAATCTTTTTTAACACTTTACTACAAGAAAACGGCCCGGTCGATCTCTTTCAAAAACTAATCAGCACGATTCCCAACCAATATCTTCCGAACGGTTTTTGAATTTTCAAAATCGATTCAGAATTGCGAATAAAACGTGGACGATTTTTTCACAGAACGTTGCACAGAACTGACAAACAATAGTCCTCATCAAGATACATCGAATGGCTTTTAAATTTTTGAAATCGGTCCAGCCGTTTTTGAGAAAACGTCGATTTACGGCAAAAAATTTCACACACACACACACATACTTTTTCCATATTTGGTCTCATTCGATTCAGAATGGCTTGAAACGTTGAGAAAGCATAAAATTAGCGAATCGGATTTTTTTATGAAAACATAAACTTCTCCTTCGGAAAGTTAATAATAAACCAAAATTTTGTTTTTGATATAAGATTCCAATGACAACAACCAAAATTCATAATATTTTTTCTAATTTGACACCAATTGACACGATTAAGATTCAAACCCTAGTTGTGACGTTTCTCACTGTCAGTGTCAGACGTTGGATTCGTGTCAGAAATGTCAGAATACGATGTGCTTCACGGTTGTCAGAATGTTATTCCAGTTGGAAAGATTGTTTATGGCGAGTGGAACTCGAAATTTTCATAAACAAATAATAATAAAATTTTTGTAATCAATTTTACCATGCACCTTTCAAACAATACATATCTTATTTGTAAAATACTTTTATAACATTTTAAGCAATGCCTCAGATAAAATCCTGATGCGAAATAGTTTTGAGTTTTTAGGATTTATTATGGATTAATATTAAATTATTATAGGCCAATGGAAACGACAACACAAGAGTTTTCTTGTAAGAACGACGGCTGTACTATGACATTCACTTGTGAAGACCAATTGGTAGCGCATGAAAAAAGACATGAAATGGTTCTAAATCTAGGGCCTTTGAAAGCTAATTTATTTAATAGTAGGTTGACGTACATAATGATTATTTTTATTACAACGAATTTATCTACTACTTATGCATTTTTTTTTAATTAGCTGATCAAACTCCAACTCCCACACGCTTCATAAGAAACTGCGATGAGGTAGGTCTCTTTCAAGATTTGCAAAATGTTAATCCTTTTGAAGAAACATTTCGAAGAGCTGTTGAACAAAATAAAAATGGTGGACCAGTTTATCTTGCCACACCTAGTTCAAATGCCTTGAACGATGATACTTTACACACGCCTCATATTTTTCCAAATTTCAATAATGCTGGTGAAAATTCATTTTTGATGATAGATGAACAATCATCTACAAATAGTCAAACAAATCAAAGTGCACAACAGCCAAGTACTTCAGCTGATAGTTCATCATTGAAGTCTGTCTCAACAAATGTACCTGATGATAAAAGATTGAACACAATTAAGCAATCTTCGTTAAGTGACAATACGACTATTGCTCCAGACAGTAATTTGAAAGACCTCAATAATAGCCAACTTGTTCTTCTGGCAGACAACAATGTTGTTTCCAAAGAAACTCCACAAATTCCAAAAGTTAATCATGTTATTAATTTATCTAGTGGTAATAGTGTATTGCTTCCAGTATTAGAACAAATACATATAAGTGAGGAAGTTGCTGAGCAACTTATAGCCAATAATAGCATAGCTTTACAAAATCACAAACCAACTAATGATATTTCAAATGTAAAAAAACAACTTAAGGCATCAATTCTTAAGAATACACAACAATCTGTAGTGAATACCTCTCTACTGAATACTGCCAGTGCAATAACCAGTGTTCCATCGGTGTCTTCAGTTGTTGCAACAAATGATTCATCCACATTTGGCATTAGTGGTCTTCGAAATATCTTACCTAAACATGTTTCAGAACTCAAGCGGCCACTTAATGATAAAAAGTCACCAATTAAAAGTAAAGTAAAAACATCGAAAGTGAAAGATGTTCAGAAAAAAGAGAAAACAAAAGTTGAAGTACCTCAAAAAGTAAACACTAATAATGATAAAACCCAAAAATCAAAAAATGATGACCTCCAGCGTAAACAATTTCTTGAGCGCAACAGAGCAGCAGCGTCTCGTTGGAGGTAAGTATAGTATAGTAGCGACTAAGTTATAAATGACCTACTATTTCTTAATACCTTTTTCCTAGGGTGAAAAAAAGAGAGCAAATAAGAGAACTGATTCGAAGAAATCACCAACTGGAACAGGAAAACACTACTTTGAAGTCTGAATGTGCTGAATTAAAAAAAATGTTATTGACTCATAAAAACTGTACACTAGCAGTGCCGCCATCCTTCATTTCTGGCAAGATCATTTCTGAAACATATGTTAAATGCTAAGTGTTAAACTAGATCTTAAAATATTTACTTTCACAGGTCCTGTCACTGAATTGAATTCCATCACACCACTCGGAATTCAGAGTTCTGCAATAAACGCTATCAATAAAATTGCGATTAGAAATAATGTGCATAATATAAATGTATCGCTCAATACTTGATGCATGCATTGTCATTGACAACAATTGTGATATATTCTAGGTTAAAATTAAATAATAAGATAGATCCCATATTTTTATATAAATTGACATCAATTTGTTATTGTTGAATTATAGTTATATATTATGGTTATGAAATACATCACAAATTTTATATTTCATTTATTTATATATTTAATATCTACATCAAATAATATAATTCGAGGACACAAATATACAAAAGTTACTCATATAAACTACTCAACAATTAAACATTAAACAATTAAAAATTTAATATAATTAAATATTTATACAAATGTTTTACATTAACTATGAATAAAAATGTAATTTACAGTATGACTACCTTAATTTAATATGTAATAATTATTAGAATCATAGTTTCGAGCGATCCTAAGTTAAAATTAATTTATTGAAAAATTAATTAATGTAATGAATTTTGTACTTACTACATATGATGTTTCAAATAAAGTTAGAACCGATGCTTCAAGAAAAGCATTATATGTATTTCTGCCACAATTCACACCCAACAAGAAGTTATTACATCAATTCATGAAATTGTTACGACAATAATAATTATTTAATTATGTGAACACATATAAAATAGTATGTACAATGTTCGTTGGATACATTTCAAAATCCTAAATCAAACTAAATTTGAATTAAAGAATTATGAATTGTAATTTGATGTAGAAAAATGTTACTAATTTGTAAATTTTAATTTAAATTTTGTGACTATGTATTGTAAAAATACAAAAATATACCTACACAAACATTTATGTATAACATTTTCGACGATTCAATGACGTATGCTATATTGTGATTTTCGACTAAATGGAATGATTTTTAAAGTTCAGTCATTTTCTACTCTAATATTAAATTCTATGGAAAAGACTTAAGATTTATTGAAATTAAAAATAAATCTAAGTCAGCATGTATGGATTTTTTTCATTAAAAATATTCTAAATTCTACAATGTGACATTTTTAAAACTGATTGCTATAATATTTGTGTTTAAAATTGTTTGATATAAAAGTTTAATAGGTTGCTAAATTGAGAAATATCAAAACTATATTTCTAATAGCAGTGGGTTGTTAGGAGTATTAACATTAATATGGATATGTGTAAGAAATACATTTCTTTTATCGAATATATTAGCAGTGTTAAAAATATGATTTACATTTCCTTAAGATATCACTACAACAATAAAATAACACATAACCTTGGTAAAATACCTGAAGAGTGATTAAAACTATGCATGTGTTCTTTAGAGAAACATGCTGCACATTATTATTCTCATGCCTTTTTCTGAGTACCCGCTACTTTCTGTTGCATTACACTAAGAAGCATATCAGAATATTGTTGCATCATATGAACCATTACGGAATTATTTCCCAGAGAATCATTGTTTGTTAATAAATTCTGCATTCTATCTAGTTCAATGTTTTGATTGAATATGGAGTTAATGTTCATAGATTTATCATTATCATTGTTACCATTTACTGTTTTTTGTAAAGAATTGTCCAGAAATTTCTCAGATTTATTACATACATTGTCGAGTAATTCACCATCTAAAGTAGCCATTTGGAACTTGCGCTGTGTTTCTTTCATGGCTTCTTCTAAGCCTTTAAGCATTGTTTCACCTGATATATCACCATTTGCAGCTCCTCCATCATTAACTGATAAACGTTTGTACAACTGAACAACATTCTCCGCAGTCTTTGTCAGCTGATCTGCCAACTGCTTGCACACTGTTGCTGACACTGCAAAATAAAATAAAATATATAATTGCAAGAAAAGTCAATAAATATTGGACTATGGTTATGTGGCACAATTTTCATTTTAAATACAGACAAGGATCCATTTACTGGAATTCATCTCATCTTTGACAATAATAGAGGACATACAAGCATAAAAATATATATGGATAAAATCACATAGTCGCCTTATTTGAAAGTTGGCTAGTTTTAGTAACGTTTCTGTGAATGTATAACGTTAAGAACGCCATAATCAAAATCCTGTCAGATGTTGAGCGTCATTGTCAGAGTGTTGTCGCAGTTCCGGTTCAAACATGTATCACGCCTTCAAAAATTTAATTTGAGGGTGGTTTTCTCATGCTTTCTAGAAACTTATTTATTGTTATTTATTTGGTGAAAAAAAGAGACTTGCATTTATTGTGAAGACCTCTTTTCAAGATGGACACAAAGAATTATTTATTCCCTTTGAAATCATGCTGTATGCAGTACTGATATCCCAAAGAGAACAAAACAATTTATTCGTAACCTTATATATAAATTTTATCCTAATAATTACATTTTTCCCAAATAAATATGCTATTATTGTTCATACTTAATTGAAAGACTATGTTACTGGTAGTCAAAGAATCTAACTGTAGATAACTAAAAACGTTTGAAACTTTTTATAATATCATTAAATAAACAATTATTATTAAAAAACATAACACCATATCATTTTGTCCATACTTTCCCTACAAATGTATTTATTTATTTTCTCGTAAGCCGTAATCAGTGATAATAAATATTATTTCAGGCTCTTGTTCATAATTAATACATAAAGTAAAGAAATTTTATAATATTCATAGTAGCTGCTCAATCTTCGCTTCTGAAATAAAAGGAGCTGAAAAAAAGCATTCGAGCATTTCTCTTTTAATAAATTAAAATCCCTTTTCAAAATTTTCAACAAGTTGACAAAATGTGATAATATGTATATTATATTATTATTTATATAAAAACAATTTCAGGATTGTAACCTCCTAACCAGCGTCAACTCTTCATCTTGAGTTGAAAAGTAAGGGAAACCAGGAAATGAATGACCTTCAATGAAGTTCAATCTCATTGATCGGACCCGAAGGATTAAAAACAAATACTTACATTCTGCATTTGTAATATCGATGGTATCAGTATCTTTACATGGAAGATCCAATGGACTGGGCGGGAGTTTGGCGGACTGTTGGTCTTCATAGTGGACGTGTTTATCGTGCGAGAGAGCGGTCCCATTGCCGCCTCCGGTCAGGCGACTCGTCACTTCTCTCGATCGTCCCGAGGATGAAGATTCCCTATCGCTACCGCTGCGACCTGGACAATTTTGAATTAGTTTATTTTTTCTAAAGCAATATCAATATACATTATGAATATGTTATTTTACGCACCCATTCTCCGCGAGTGATCGATTGAAATTGATCTAGGCCTTGGCGGTACTGCCGGCTTCGAGTTACTGTTACCGCTGCCAATTTCTTCTGAGCTTGAATCTTCGTTGCCAATTGTAGTTAGATTCACTAGACATTTAGAAAACTTAAGTTAATAATTGAACAATTTAACTAATAATTTATTTATCACTGAGCATTTTTCTGACACGAATAGCAATGATCATTATAAGCAGACAATGATACTATATATAATGTAAGTGTGCACAAAATAAAAGAACTAAACAACTCGGTGAAATAAACTAAAAATAACTCAATATTCCTTTTATTCCTGATTTAAAAACCAATAAAACTTACCGCTACTGTAAGAGTTCTGCATCCGCCGTCTATTAGCGCTTCCCGTTTTACTTGATTTGGAGAACTTGTTGGCCGACAAACTCTGGTTTTTATTTCCTAAATTTCCGTTATTTGTTTTATTTTGGGAACTGATAGTAGGTCGCATCAAACCTCCTAAACGTTTACTAACTAAATTGTTCATATCGGATTCGGAATCGCTCTGTAATATATAAACAAATATAAGAATTGATTGATTGTAACAGCAAAGTAATGATATTGTGATAAACTCTAATATAAGTGAAAACATTGAAGATTACATTTTTAATTATTTTTAAATTTTAAATACAAATAAAGAAATGACACCACACAAATATTATGTGTTTATCATGCAATCTATACGATAAGATTATATACAAAATTTATTACAATTTGAAAGATTAATAAAAATTATACCTGGTTAAGTACACCAGTAGACACACTTCTCTGACCCATGCCATTTTTGGCACTTTGTTTTGGCAACGATAATTTTCTGGGAACGGGTTGTGGCTTGCTCTGCATTTTGCCTGAAACTTTAATAATAAACGTATTTTAAACGATAGTGTAGGTGAAACATAATAAAATAGGTGCTATTTGTTCAATCAGATAGGGAAAATACAAACAAACTAGTGTTTATGGACAAAATAATTTAATATGAAGAAAGCAATAAAAACAATGCTGTCAGATGTTGAGCGTCATTGTCATATTCACAGTCAGGTCGCAGTAATCAGCTCAAACATGTATCTCACCTTCAAAAGTTTATTATAAGAGTGATTTACTCATAGTTATTTGTAATTTTTTCTCTTTAAAATAATGAATTTATACATAGTACTATATCGCAAGCACTGCAAGATAGTTAATTTAAGGCCAAGAAAAAAGAAAATTGAACCCTGTCAAAGGCTTTTAATTTCTACTCTAACTACTTCTACAAACATACTAAAGAATCCACCTGTAAAAAGAGACTTGCGTTTATTGCAAAACCCTCTTTTCACATTTTGAACCTGACTATGGTTAGTAGTGATATATGACTTTGTTCCTTTGGACTCATACGTTATGTGCTGATGTCCCAAAGAGGACCAAATGATTCATCTTGTCTTCAAATAAATTGGTATCTGAGTATGCCCTTACCTTATATGCCACGGACAAAATGGTTTTTATAATTAGTTGCATTTTTCTTTAATAAATATGTTATTATAGTTTCTACTTAATTAAAAGACTAACACAACACAACAGTCAATGAATCTAAGATGAGTAATTTTATGAAAAACGTTAATATTATAGAAAGTTATTGCAGTGAATTGCATATTATTGTAATTTTTATTTAATATTAAGACTTAAGAATTATTAAAAGTAATGATCATATTTAATCAAATTCATTTCATCAAACTTACCACCAATATTTTTCTTGGATTGTGTAGGACTAGAAAGATCACTTAAAGAACAAGCTTTTCTTAATCCTTCGCTAGAAGGAGGCGCAAACCAAGCAACTGAAAATTAATCATGACGATGTCAATTAAATCAAAGTTTTTTTTAT